ATTTTTTTTTTTTTATTTATTTTTTTTTTTTTTTTTTGCGCGTAACGACTCGAAAAGTATTATTCTATGTGTATATATCTATTTAAATAATGAAATAATGAAATTAGTCGGCGGATAGATTATTAATCGTGGACAGTGGAAAAATTTCTTGAAATATGAATTAATTTTGTACGATGACTGGGAAAGATTGCGCTGTTAATTAGTTACGTGGAACTCGATGAGTCACTTTTATAATGGATACACGTTACCTCGAATTAGGAACGAGTGTAACTTAAAGGATGCAAATCTCAAGAAAGTCGTAATACATATGCGTGTGATGCGGTTCAAGGATCGCCTGATAGGAGCAAAGTTCGATCGATATGCTCGCATATGATACACGTATGCGTGTTTCCATCCATCTGAAGCCTGGTAATGAACAAAGTTTCTTGCAATAATACTTGGAAATAACTTAAATAAATTAAAAAGAGAAATCGAAATGGTAATTAATAATTTTCCGTCACGATTCTTCGCAATCTGATCCAAAGAAGAAAAGAAAAAAAAAAAATTCAAACGATATAAATTACTACTCGAAACAGTTTAAATTTACACTCATCCACACAATAATATCCCCACCTATCTCACTCTGGAAACGACCAAATTTAATCATCACCAAATTACCAAAAAAAAAAATATATCTCTACGATCCCTTCTTCCCCTCCCCCAATTACTTTCGAAAACTTCGAAAAATTTTAATTCTTAACCCCTTACGAGCGCAAAGACGAGGAGTATCGAAAAGCGGGAAAAATGGAAATACAAAAAATAGCTGAGAATCGTTCGAGTCATCCTCGCGACAAAGGGGGGCTCCTTCCATCGCCTTTCCACCCCCTTCGCCCTTCGCCGTTCGCGTGCAGATCCCGGCACGAATAAAGGCCCCCTCCCCACCCCACCCCTTTCGATACCCCTTAATTCGATACTAGTCACGGTCTTCGATCCCCGTGGTCGTCGGCGTCGATAATTGAGGAAGCGGCTGCGTGATTAGCGAGTGGGGGGTTGCGGGCAGGCAGCTGCTTCGTTATTATGATTTTCTTCATTAAATGCCGATCAAGGCAACGCTTTAATGGCTTTCTGGGTCTTATCAGCTGCGGTGCGCATAAGACGGAGCGCTTCCTCGCCGCGCATAAACCTGCGTGGCCGAGGTGAGCGGAGGGGGAGGGGGAGGGAGATGCGCTTATTCGTCAGCCGCTTATTTCAATATTACAGTGTAATAAATAGCGAGCGGACTCGGCCAGGATTAAATCGACGAAAATTACAGATCCCCGGATCCGAGAGGGGAGGAGGAGGGAAGAAGTCGGCTGGCAAATTACATAGATCTACATAGCGCAACGGTATATTCGTACAACGTGTCCGGTTGAATTTTTAGACGCCGGTGCGTGTCTAAGCTTTCGCTTGGAACGTGGGGATATCGTGGCGGTTTCGATTTGTCGCGAGATGATGTCGATGATGAGACGATGAGAGATTCCTGTGTTTCCATCCGCGCGCTTTGGAAAGGGGAGAAGAGATTAATCGATGGATGGGAATCGCGGTTGAACAGAGAAGAGAAGGAAAGATTGCGAAACAATCGATGAATAATTAGGTAAAAACTAAAATAAAAGGTAAAAACTACGAGTGGAAGAATGTAAAGAATGGATATAGAGGTGATTTTAGCGCG